CGCCATGATGTGCACATTTTAGTTATTTTCTAGGGGAATTTTCCTAGTGCTCAAGGTTTGAGACTATTGCGGCCATTGGTTGCGGCCTTGGAAAATGACATGTGTCACGGTAATGAAAACTTGAGGTTAATGTTGGGTTAATGCTTGTTTATTAGTTGATTTGAATTTCGCGCCATGTGAGTGCACATCATGGCGGCCCCCATGTAGGTGTCATTTGTTAATTCAGCAATAGCAGTCCATCCTTAGATCATAACCTACGAGTAAAAAATAAAAGGAGAGAACCTTGCATTAAAAGGGGACTTGACGGAAATGGACAAAAAGGAAGTTTTTTTATATATATAAAGGCTTTTCGGGGTCATGCCCATTTTGCCTACGATGTACTGTAGTTACCTCAAACCAACTCAAACTAGGGATAGACAGTGGTTTTAACATTTCACGCACAGGGGCCGATCAGTGCGACTTTGTACCACACGAGGTACCACACATAGGATGGCCACGGAAGGTTCAAATACATGTAAGGATATGGACACAGAACGGTTACAATACTATGGACGCACATAAAGTTACAGTTTTAGTCTAATTGCTTTTACATAATCAATGATAACATCGTAGATTGGTTTACGGCAGCTATGTAGTAAGGTCGTGATATTTGTGGGAAAGGCCTTTTTCGCTTAGCTTTTCTAATAGGTTTCTAATTTTGGCCTCACGCTTAACACAACTAAAAAACAGATGATTCAAGTCGCCCTGGAGATCTCCGCAATCGCAGTTTGAGGATACCAATTTTAAACAAATGGGCCGGATATTTACCGTGCCCAAACTTTAACCTTGCTAATTGCTATGGTAGAATATAATAGAATCTAGAAATCTGAATGTTTTTGTACCAGTGCTCTTTAACAAGGTTAGGAGGAATGATGGAGTAGTGTGTTTTTTTATTGAGTAAGCGGCTTTCCAGTAATTTTCCCATTGGAGATAAACAGTGTTTAATTTAATTAGTCGTACGACGTCAGACTTGGAGAGAACATTCGTCATGCATCGTCCATTTTCCACGCTATCTTTTGCTAAGGCATCAGCTGTCTCGTTGTGTTGAATGCCCACATGCCCCTTTACCCAGTATAGCTGTATTATGCTCGACATTTTTCGAAGGTGAATGATCTGCAGTGTAATCTCTTGTAACATAGGATCTAGTTTGTCATAGCTCGTCTTCGCCTTTAGTGCTTGGAGGACTCCAAGGGAGTCTGAAAATATTATCGCATGCTTGATCTTCCTTTCCACAGAATATTTAAGGGCTTCTAATATTGCGAACGCTTCAACGGTGAATATGGAGCATGACTTGCTTAGTTGAAATTTAGCCGAGTATGAATTTCGGCTGTCATAAAAAGCACAGCCGCAACCTTTCACAGTTTTTGAACCGTCGGCAAAAATCAAGGTAGCTCGCGACAATTCATTTGTTATATTGTTAAACAGTTGCCTATCATGTTGAGCTATGCCATTGAATGGAGGATATATTATCTCAATTTCTTGCATAAAGTCCAGAAAACTAAAGTTATGTGGAATTGATGGTGATCGAAGGTTATTTGGGGTTTCCTTTAGTAAGGCTGCTGTGAGAGGAGGAGATGCAGGCTTTTTTCGCCAGTAGTCTGCAGTTTGGTCAAGGACGAGCAAATTGGATATCTTGACGATTATGTGGTTTAAATTGTTAGTTTTAAGTTTGATTATGTATTTCTCAGCAAGGAACTGTCTCCGGATATATAATAGACCGGGAGATGGTGACACTTTTTGTGGTGTGATTTGCTACAAGTATGGCGACCATTCAAAGGTTTAATTAAGTACTCCTCAAAACGAAAATGGTGCTAACTCTCTGGGAGTGGGGCCGTTATTGCGTGACGATTGTTTAAACATGTCGGAAAATTTAATGATTTTGGACAATTTGCTACACAAAATTCTTTGGATTTTCTGGTAGTCGGTGACAAAACAAATGACGGAAACGAAATGCCATACTTTTCCGGTGGGCCTTATAGCCCGCCATACTCATTTGAACGTGTCGATTGTTTGTTTTTTTTTGGGTGATTTGCTACAATCTCATTTTTTTATGAGCATCAAGTCCTCAACCAGTCATGCACGAAAATCAACCTGCCATACCGCAGCGACGGGCCCGCATAGCCGCCATACCGGCACAAAGATGTCATCTTTGTTAATAATTTTGGGCGATTTGCTACACCCTATAAATTTTTCCACCAGTTATTTTTATAGTCAGAAATAGAAATTTCGATACGCCATACCTGTGGCATGCGCCAATTATGTATAATATTTTTTCAAAAATGTAAAAATTTTTGGAAAATTTGGGCGATTTTCTACAGTATGGCACCAATTTTTCGTGACAGTTTGAGGTGTAATTAAAGTAAATATCAAGTTTCAAACATGAATCCCGAGCCAATCTTGTTTTATCACGAGATATTATGTCGCTTAATATTCTCCGCCCCACTCGAACCTCTTAGTCAAGTTGTAGAGGTCCCGGTCGGGGTCGTTGTGTTCTGCATTGCATTCAATGGATCGGAAGTAGTAGGTAGCAGCTGCCGTTAAGTTTATACTACCCGCCATAAGTATCTGAACACCCAGTGTACTTTGATCAATTAATAAAAATAATAATAAATGTTTAAACAAATATAGCAAACGAGCTCCTGGGTATGGCTATAGCATGTGCAAAACTAAATTTTGCACCTGTTGTTACATTTTCATTTATTCTAAGTGCATATATGTATCTAATTTAATTTGAATCCCTACATAAATGAGAAAGTTGGCACTGCGCATGCGCAAAACCAAATTTTGAAACTGGCGTTAGATTTGCTTTTATCCCAACTGCCTACGTACAAATTTTATTTTTAACTACCTTCATCCACTCGTTTTCGGGATATCGTTTGTAACGGACAGACGGACAGACTGGATTGTTTTACCAATTTTTAATAATAAAAGCATTTTTCTGAAATTCGGGAGAAGATCGTTTTCAAGGTTCCTTGCTTATTCAAGTTATAGCACAAAGATGTTTTAGGAAAACAGATTTTCGAGTATGGCGCCATCTTTAGCATTCATGACGAGTATGGCACATATATCATGGGTCAATGTGGAGCATGAACTTTCGGAAAATCCAAATGCCATACTGTAGCAAATCGCCCAAAATTATTAACAAAAATGACATCTTTGTGCCGGTATGGCGGCTATCGGGGCCCGTCGGTGCGGTATGGCAGGTTGATTTTCGTGAATTACTGGTTGAGGACTTGATGCTCATAAAAAAATGAGCTTGTAGCAAATCACCCAAAAATCAAAAAAAAACAAACAATCGACACGTTCAAATGAGTATGGCGGGCTATAAGGCCCACCGGAAAAGTATGGCATTTCGTTTCCGTCATTTATTTTGTGACCGACTACCAGAAAATCCAAAGAATTTTGTGTAGCAAATTGTCCAAAATCATAAATTTTCCGACATGTTTAAACAATCGTCACGCAATAACGGCCCCACTCCCAGAGAGTTAGCACCATTTTGTATTGAGGAGTACTTAATTAAACCTTTGAATGGTCACCATACTTGTAGCAAATCACACCACAAAAAGTGTCACCAGCTCCCGGTCTATAAGGGAGGCTCGTTTGCTTCAACTTGCATTGCTAGCGTCGGTGTTGATATCATTGCTCCCGTACATGTCCTTAGAACTTTGTTTTGAATTATATCTAGACGTTTTAGTTGAGATTTGGGAGCGTTCCCATATAAAAGGCAACCATAATCAAGATGTGCTCTGATGTAACTTTTATAGATTAAAAGCGCTGTATGAATATCACAACCCCATCCCACCTTTGTTAACACTTTGAGTATGTTCAATGACTTTTCGCATTTTATTGTGAGGTAATTAATGTGTTCGTTCCATTTTTTATAAAAGTGCGAGCGAGAATAGGGATAAACCCGTCATTATTGGCAGTGGTGTAATAAAATAAAACTGACATCGTCTCTTCTGTTTTATGATAAGTCAAGTCGACATAACTGACCAGCGCAAAGGAAGTGATATTTTGACGACTTCCGTCGCGTGTTATGCTATTTTTCCCACCACCGTTATATTCTCTCCTCTTATTTTTTACTCGTAGTTTATTTTACGTTATCCGTCTTTTTCAAGACGCATATAGCTTGGATCTACGATCTGATGATGAAGGTATGTAATTCCCTTAATATGTTTTTAAATTTTGCATCAGAATGTACGGTCTAAATTAGCGCCCTCGGACACGCCCTGTCAGGGACTTTCTGAGCGTGGTGGCGCTGTATGTATGTAATTTTATTGATGGACCCTGTGAATAAAGAGATTGTACTCTGTAGATACAGTGTTGCCTTCACTCATCCTGATTGCTTGTCATGCGCAACATCGCAATCAATCAAGTAATTTGACACTTGCGTTATTCCAGCCGAAGTAGAAATACTCTTCAAATTATCGATTTCTCAGAGTTACGGTGTTTCTGCAAGTAAGTGGTAAAATTACTAAATTAATTAATGTTTAATATTTATTGTATTTAGGTAATATTCAGTATTCAGTGCGAGTGTGTAGTGTAGTGTGCCGCGCCCTTTTTTGATTGTGTCGTATTTTGTGAACGTACAGCACGATAGGCCTTTCGGACACGGCTCTTATGGACATGGTGGTTTCTAACCTGCAACAACAGCGCGCTGTAACGGAGCAGCTGCGCCGTGAAGCTATAATTAAACGAGTTCCTGTATCACAGGCGGTTGCAGATATTGTCAAGTTTATTCAGGAACATGAACAAGACGACTGCTTGCTTGTTGGATTTAGCAGCCAACGTGTAAATCCATTTCGAGAAAAAAGCTCCTGCAGCGTTCTATAACTTATGTTTTGTCATTAAAGTTGCTGTTTTCATGGTGTTCCCGTAACTTGTTTTTGTAATGTCGTACTATTTGTCACACCTTTATTATTATGATTTACATTACTAGAAATAAAGTAGAAATCTTTATCTAGAAACAACTGTTTATTATGAAATAATAAAAATTGTATACAATGGTTTGTAAAAGGGCACAATAACAGGTTACTGCCTAAGGTACATTATATAAAAAAGCAACAAATCACTAAACTAGTTCTAATTGCTATTGACTACATAATTTGATAAATTGTAAGTAAAATACATTCCACTAACAACTCAAAAGAGTAATGAATAGTGACAGGAACTTATCACAGCTAAGACAACATTAATTATATACTGTCAAATTTGAGAAAAAATTGTAGTGCATGTAAAAAAACTGCTAGGTTTCCGTAACATAAGACTGTTTCAAAAGAATTTTTATGAAGCTGAAGATTACATTATTGGTGTTACCACATAAACTATTAGTGCAAGCTTGAGCATTAATTATATAAAGAGCACAACTACAAATCAAAATCAGTCTTATTTAGATCAACTACGAAAAAAAAAGGCTTTACTGAGCCTCACCTTCAGTTTCTTGTTCGTGATATAAGCGTAGAAGTTCCATGGCATCTTGAGCTTGTCTTTTTTCACTTAGGTACCTCCCTGATGCTTCCTTCAATTGTTCTAAGAAAATCTTATCGGGGAATGTAATGTCAACCAAAGAATCAGGATCCATGTCGCTTAACATTTCTAGTTCAGTGCCGCCAAGAAGAGAAACATGACACAGATTCTGTTTTATCTTTCCAACTAAACCAGCAAGCTCAGGACTTGCTTTCCCATCATCGACAGCGTCAACTGATAGGCGACAAGGAGGTATCGGAGGAATCCATTTTTGCTCCTCTTTAAGAATCATAAGGTTTGTGTGCGGCTCTAAAGTTGCGAAATATTCGTCGTCGTCGATCTCAGTGCCATCAACTTCCAATACAACAGTAATAGGGCCATCAATTAAAAGCTTTTCAGATACTTTAGAGGTTAGATCTTGTAAGGAAGTAGCGACCACACCTTTACGTATTTCGCGTGTTAAATCAGTGATCTTGAAAGGCTTACCAGCTGATTGTTCGTTTTCTTCCATTTGAATAAAACTGAGGTAAAATTATGGCAGTAGAATTTTGTTGACATCAAAAATAATCATTACATTGAGTTCTTAGTAGGGAATTACAAGAGGTCGAAAGTGCCTCGCGCGCAAAGCAAACAAATGACAGTTAGGCCTTTGGCGTACCTTCAGATGTCAACACAGAACATCACCATTGTCAACAAAGTAACTTAACCTCACATACTTTTGTGCTCGCCTATATTATACAGGGTGGTGCCTAGCGCAACGCAGCATAGGGATTTCCTTTGATTATATACTATCAAATAGGATTTCAATGGTAATTTCTTTATAGTCAATGACTAGCTCCCCTAATTATTTTAGAGCAAAAGTCTAAATATGTTTTTTTAGAGAAAAAAATACTGCATCTGTTCATACTTTTAGTTATAATTTTCCATTTTTCAAAACCGTAAAAATCGACAAAATAAAAAATTACATTTTTCTATTTCGGTGTTACAATGAGAATTTTGTGCAACTGTTTTCGGCAAAAACAGTGTTTCAATGAGTTCCATTGTAACATTGTTTTTGATAACTTTTCATCTCTAAGCACAACCGTCTATAATTACAAGCCGTGCTGAGAATTATGGCAACACTGCATGGTAGGCCGATTTCCTAATTCAACTTGACAGATTTCAGGTGTATTTTATATGTGTTTTGGGTGTAATATTCCTATTTACTTGTTTTAACAGAGCGAGATTGCGTAAATTTGTGTTACTCCGTATGGAATCAACAGAAATTATTATTCAGGTAAGTTGCTAAACGAAATATATCGATTTGTTGTCATAACCTCTAAAGCAGACTACTGCTGGACCCTTTACAAGCACTTGTATTTGTTCAAAGTACCTGTACAAGCTCAAATATGACCTACACACTACATGGTACGTAAGTACGGTAAGTGTTTATCGTGAAAAAACACAATTAGTTTGTATTTCAGGTATTCTAGCACGGACATGTCAAGTCGATTTTCTGAAGGAACCGTCCCAGGAGTTCACGGTACGGGAATTTGAAGTCTACGGTGCTCCCCTGTTTAAAAGCTTCGTACCTAGACCCACTGGAGTAGCGACTGGCTTAAAGTCTGCCATTCAGAATCATACCTGGTCGTTGATAAAACCTCGCTGATGCAGAGCGATTTACTGTCCTTTTGCCGAAATTAAGTGCTCAAGCGTGTGCTTTACCTCGACCTCTTTCGACAGAAGTTCACCAATTTCGTAGATCTCGATGGAAAACACATTATAATGCATTTACCAATTTACAGCGTTCCGAATTTTAAAGTCAAATAAAAATGTTATTATCCATTTTTGTAAATAAATAAAATATATGTACAATTGTAAGCTGCCTAAGTATCTTTCTTCTGTATTAAAACCACCAAGGCGAAACACAGGAGAGAGGAAAAATGCCATTTTTCAAGAGAAACAAGACGCCATTAAAACTTGAATCGGCCACAGCCGTCTATAATTACAAGCCATGCTGAGAAGTTTGGCAACATTGTTCGAAAGTCAATCGGTGGGCCGATTCAAGTTTTAATGGCGTCTTGTTTCTCTTGAAAAATGGCATAACCTACCCTGATGGTTAGGCAACACACATTTACATCCGAAACAAAAATATAATATGCTCTGTATATAACCAACGACCGTTTTGCGCAGATGCCGAATACTAGGGGATTTTGGTAACGAAGCTAGGAGAGAATGGAGAGAAGATGGCGACGAGGCCGACGGAAGGCACACGCTTTCCCGGTTTTTTTATTATTCTTGATTATTTTTGGTGATGGTGTTTTGAAGCTGTATTTACAGGTAGTAACCATTTTATTCTTTCTTGTACTAGATATTTAATCATTGAATTTCTTGCCACAATGTGATATTTACATTTTGCTGATTTTGCATAAACTACGATATCTGAATCATGGCGTACTCCATGCCTTTGTTTCGTGTACCGTTAGATGAATCATGTTTGTGTCATATTGTACAGATGATTATGCCATTATTTTGTTTAATTAAGTAATTTACTTCTGTTATTCATCAGGAGTTGATTATCGGTGTGATGTTGCTCTGTTCGATTGACCCGTAACAATTCCGTGTTCGCTGTATCTGTTACTTTCTGTTTCGTGGCTCGCTACAGTTTTTGTGCGTTAGCTATACGAAGGGGGGCTCTTTTATTTGATGTTTTGATGTTTGTGTGTGCGAGTGGGTATTTCTGTCTCCGTGGAGTAGGTACCTAATGCAGTTAGATCGTTCGCTGTATCTGTTGCTTACTCGTCTCGTGCGGATTGTAGTTCTTAACATCTTAGCAATACGAGTGGGGGCCCTCTCATTTACATTTCCTCTATTTAAAATATGTTCTGCTTGAGCGATAATCGATTTTCACATGAATACTTGCTATTTGACCAATGGCATTCTCACATGTACTTTTCGTGTTAAATTAAATTATGTTAACTGAAGGATGGAGTAGAGCCACACCATTTACATGTTTCCTATGTACATGCAATTTGTTTATTTGACGAGCTGTGTTATTTCTATTGATCGTACAGGTATTTTGATGTGTTTTTGTACTGAATTGATTTATCATGTTTTCCACTGCATTTATGATGTCTTGTGTATTTTGTTTTTATGAACTTGTTTAATTGCATTTGATTTGATTATCTGATTTTTATCATACCATTTGAGATGTCTTATTTATGTGTATTTTCTCTTGCATTTTATTGCTGTAGGTGATTTATTTTATGTATTTGTATGTCCTATGCCAGGGTTTTAGTCCCGGAGAAGGTTTCCCTGGCATGGTCTTGTGTGTGCGTTAATATATTTATTTGATCTTGTCATTTCTTACGCACAAAAGTTCTGTCTTTTATTTAATTCCCTTCCCGATTATGTCTCACGTCCCAACACATAAAAGAACCGATTACACAACGTAGGAGTCCATTCGTGCCACCCATATCGAGCCGACTGTCATCCAAATTCAAAAGTGCCGCGAGACTACCATCGTTTCGACTTGAAAGGTAGGTGGCTCTGCTTGTAGTTTTTACCAGAGTTGCCAACCGTAAGTATAGGGTAAGTCAACGTTTTCCGTGTCGGCTTGATAGACCCCCTAGGAACATTACAACTCCTTCAAGCTTATAAGCAAAATTGAACACGCCCAGCACACACCGCAACTTAACTTTGCTATAAAAATGTGTTATACTTATAAACTTATATTATAAGGAAAAATGGCCGTCTAACATAACGGAAAATGCTGTCCGCAACCTGGCTATTACCCGTGGCTCGTTATCTTAATGACTTGATCCGATCCTCTAACAAATAAATCGCGGTCACAGTGCTGACAATTATAAACACATAATCCCAACGTAAATAGTTTAAAAGATTTCGTAATGAATTATAACTACCGTAAGTGGTGCCCTACCATGGAGTACACTTTGTCGTGGTGTAGGGCTCAGTAGTCACATTTTTCTGTGGCACAGCTAAGTATCCCAGGCGGGTAAATCTGCTTCCAAGGATGCTGTATCATTCAAATGCTTCATGGTGTAGAGAAATCCAAAAGGGTTTTCGACGATTGCTCATTAAACGTAATATAGAAAACTATATTGACATGAGTAGCACATTTTTCACGTACGTTAACTCCTGAGGCGTGCGGTAGACGACAATTTGGACAAATTCCGAACCCGATTGAGGCATTTGCCGATAGAGTTTCGAATAATCGGACTAGATCATGACTTGTTAAACGTGATAAAGGATCGACACTAGTACTCCTTTGGACTCTGAGGGGTTGTAAAAGTAACTTGATGGTAGCGAAAAGAAAATAATTGTTTTCTTCGTCGACAACTAAGGAAACTGCATATAGCTTTGCGTGAACCGTATGTTGCGGGCAAATTTTGACTTTACTGTGAATAAGTTGCCAAAGTCTTCTGTTCGACTGCACCCAATAAGGTAGTTTCACATTTGTACACTTTTGTATTGCGCAATATTTAAACTTGCGCAACTTCGTTATTTCAGCGTGTGAACTGCGCTGCAACGTCGAAAACTTGTGCCATCTTTTAAGCTGCGTGCAATTTTCTAACTTGCATATATTTCAGAAATTGATACGTGTGACTACCCAAATGCAATAAAATGTCGTTACAACAAAGTGGACCGTTTTGTCGGTTATATAAAGTGGCGCAATTTACGTTTAGTCTGGCACGAGTACTACTGCTTAGTAGATGATGATGGGCTTCTCGCGTACTAAAATCAAGTAAAATGGACTTCGGAAAATACGTTTCTGTTACTTTTTTCTAATAAGTAGTCAAAATCCGATACCGACATCTGTAAACAAGTATACATTGTGCACAGCTCTTGTGCAGATAAAGCACCTTTTGTAAAAACGAAATAGCTTTTGTTTTGACAACACCAATGGATATATTTTTTGCAGACGTCTCAATCACTATTTGTGAGTACCCTCTTACGACAATCCGTTCTTGAGGTATAAGGGAATATACCCGGTCATTATAAGAGGTCGAGGAGGAGGGATATGGTTCGTAGAAATTAATTCGTTTCGTTGAGACCTTTCATTAGAGTACCATGAAGTTCCACCCCCCCTCCCCCTCACCACCTCGTACTTTGATAAGAGGACAGAAAGAAGGGCAGTAGTTGGTAGAAAACGTTTCCTTTCGTTGAGACCTTTAATTAGAATACAATGAGAGATAAGATTAATTTCCCCCCCCCCTCCCCCAGACCCCGTCGCTCAATGATCTCGAAAGGATCGCACGTGTAATTCGTGGGGGAAGGGGGGGGGGGCTTTTTCGCGAAAGTTGATGGCCGTCTCGCACATCGCTTCGTCTTCAGAATACATATTAGTATTCACAAATTTGTTTGCCAAGATAAACTATAAACAGCAGCCACTCGCACTACTCCCACTATACCAATTCTACCGCGCCCGGTTAATCGTGCAATAAAATTGAAGACGTGGAGAAGAAATGTGAACATCTTCGCAACTTAAAAAAATTGCATCCACATTTTGATATTGCGCCACACTAAATGTTGCAAGTTATTTGCAATTTTTGCGTTCAATGTGAACACCATGCGCCATTTAGTTGCGCAATATTGAAAAGTTGCGCCACAATAGTGTACAAGTGTGATACTACCTAAGGTTCTGTAAGAGTGCGCGCCATAAAAACTGTTTTTCCCAAAAAAATTTGTTTTAAGAATTACTTTATAAATTTAGACCTTTATCTACAAAATGTTCGTAACAGAAAACTCTTAAAGTGGACATAGCTTACTGAATCATCTCCATTTGATAGCTTCGATGACCTAAAAACAAAGCATCTTAAGTACACATTCCTCTTAAATAACTACATTTCTTGTAAAAAATCTAAGTTTGACTTAAAAACCTACAAGACTTATGGCAGTTTTCTGATGAACAAAAATCTGTGTTTGATGCATAAGAAATATTCCTAACATCATTTCATCAATGTTTGGCAGATTTGCTGCTATCAGCTTTCGTATACTCACTTTCAATTCTTATCTGGTTTTAAAAACTAAACTTTAGGATCATATAATCACTATAAAATGGAACAAGCATAAATTTAAAAATGTCGACAAACTCTACAAACGCACAGAGGATTAGGATAATGACGTCACGCGCTCTGATTGGCGTTTGATATCACGTGACAAATGTCGTTATTTTTTAATTTTAGTTTTACTAAAATATAATATAATAGTTTCTCGTGTACATGACCAAAGAAAGTTATTTTGCGATACCCTGACACCTTACACTATCTTATGAAACAAAAATTTATTTATTCTTTTTCCACGGTCATGTACCCTATTAGCAGTCCATGTACTATATGGTCTAAGCTTCTTATAATGAATGAAGTATAGTGACTTTATTGTGAGTCGTGTCCTCGCCATCTATACGTGATGTCCAAAATTAAATGACCGTTGTCCTACTTCAATGCCTACTTGTAACACTGAGAAGCGTTTATTTTGCCACGGAAGCGCACGTAGACACAGAAGTTCATAATTTTAAAGGTTATGTAAGTGTTTATAATATCGGTTTATCATTTGTATTTTTAAAATAATGAAAACTGTAAAGTGAAATCTCTATTAGATTAACAGAATGTCCACATCGAATGAATCCATTGAAGAGTCATCAAAGTGGTTACATCCCAACCAATTATTAAAGTTACAACGATTAAAAGTGAAAAGAAGACAATTGCAGGCTCGGATCAATAACAGTGAAGTAAATGTACCTAATGACGGTTTTAATGCTAATCTTAATAATATATCAGTATGTGGAAAACGACCAAATCCATTCGTAAAACCTTTAGGAGACTGTAAACGCACTAAACTTAATGTAAATGAATCGAGTGATGGAACCTTGTTTGGCCTCTTGCATTCCAATGATGCTATAGAGAGACCACATGCTTTAATCTCTTTTAATAAAACTATATCGGTCCCTAATGATTTGTGTTTGAATAAAGCTGACATTGTGCCGCCTATAAAAGCCCAACATTCGTGGGTACCTATCGATTGGACACTAAATTGTAAGCTGCGGTTATTATCATCTAAACCCTTTAGTTGGAGTCATAAACTGAAAATAAGTGAGGAAGCATCTGGTATTACTGCATTTGTCAGATGTCTAAATTATAACTCTGAAACCACACTTGATACATCTCCAAATGCCAAATTTCACCAATGCTGTCTTTACTGGCAACAACCACATTTTCCTTGGCTTAGTGTATTTCCTCGCACGCAAGCACAATCTTCTTCAGGCCCAAGTTTTGTTACAACGGCTGCAATGCGTGACAATTTACATATGGCATGGTCTGATGGTTTGCGTTCATTATTTCAATTGTTACGAACCCGACAATGTCCATTTTTCTATGTTTGTACCAATACTTTTACAGTATTATTTAGGGCTGCTGGAATATGTGGCCATGCAGAAATGGTTGCGTTAATAACTCCTACAACGTATGGATTTAGACAGTTGCTAAGGCAAGAGGAAATTGAATTTTCAATGCCTTTAAAAGTAAAGTCTGGCACGAAAGATAAAGGTGACGGTTCTGATGATGAAGGATCTGAAGAGAAGTGGCTTGCAAGTATGGGCATAAATGCAGAGGATAGAAAACAAATAAGTTATACTGAAAAACAACGTCATCGTAAAACAGAATGTGAGGTAGATAATAGTGAAGGAAGTTTAGTTCTAATACAAGGGATGGAAGTTCATGGTCTATATAATTTTCTTATTAATTGCAAAAGTGCTACAAGTATCACCGGTTCTTTAGCAGGTATCCCTCCGACTCTTCTGTCACCAATTGCCTTTCAAGGTGCAACCTTATCAACTTTGAAAGTAAAAGAAACCAAAATATTAATCGATAATGTGTCTTATTTTTCTTTAGAGTTAAATGGACCTATTCTACCACATATTATACATAATTTGTCTGAATTAAACCCACAAGACCAAAGCTTTACTGCTACTTTCGGACATATTACCTCTTCAATGGCGTTTAGTAAATTAGGGGAAACTGAAAAAATAGAAACTGATAGCAATACTTCTGGATTTTCAGTTTTCAGCAAAGAGAACCTATCTGATTGTGGTCTCACATCTACCATTCTAAAACACTTTTGTTCATCAGAAAAGGGGTTGATACAAAATGTAGACAGTCTCAAGTATAATCCAGAAATTAAATCATACACATGGTTGTAAAAGGTATCGTATTTTGTTTAATAAAGACATTATTTATATTGCTTTGTGTACATCACTTATTACGCGTGACCAGGATTAAGATTTTTGTTATACCTACCCATTAAAAAAGAATCTTCTATTGCCTTCCCTTCTTTTAAAATAATTTTGTATTTCAGTCAACATTTTGCATATGGCATAAAAATTCGACAAAAAGAAATGAGACAGAGGCAAATACATAGTAACGAAGGTCGTAGTAGTTAAGTAGGCTGGGATCATCTTTAATGAGTATAAACCATATGTGAAATCTATTAGCTAAGTTTTATCTCACTTTCATCAATTCTCTTCGGCAGGGTGCTACTGGTACTGGTATACCTATATAGGTACTTGAAAAATTTTAAATTTAAATGGAATGATGGATTGCGTACTCGTTTGAGGAATGAATTACAATTAACAATCTTGTGATGTGGCGTTGTTGTAGGCCTTAGATCATACATGTTATATGATAAAAGGGTATATCTACCTTACGAAGAGTATACAGGGTGGTGACTTGCGTCACGCATCATAGGGATTTCAATGTAAAATTAATAACATGCCGTTATTGGCTCCCCAAATTATTTTAGAGCAAAAATGTAAAAAGGTTTTTTTGTAGAAAAAAATTTTTTACGTCAATCAACCGTATTAGTTTTCAATTTGTTGCATAATAAAGACGGAAAATTGGAAAAATAAAACCCGCATCTTTTTCAATAATCTGTGATGCCATGGAATTTTATAATACAAAAACTACGCCAATATCCGTCATACCATGGAATGTCTGCTACAAAACAAATCAATTTCTATCAAAAAGTATTATTGTTAAAACAGCGCATTAAACATAAAGAAATTACTAAAAACGGTTTCCTAATATAACAATTTACAATATATGTTCGAATAAGTCACCATTAACTCTAATACAGTAACCAAGTCGATCATAAAATCAATTTCGAACTGCTGCTATAATTGATATATCTTTTTGTTTTAGAAAATTCCATGGCATAGAATTTGATTTGTTTTATAGCAGACATTCCATATGGCATGACGGATATTGGCGTAGTTTTTGTATTATAAAATTCCATGGCATCACAGATTATTGAAAAAGATGCGGGTTTTATTTTTCCAATTTTCCCTGTTTATATGAAAAATATATTTTTAGGCTATCATCACAAAAGCGTTGATTTTATGGTCGCTTTTGCGGCCATAAAGTTTCACTTTATTGTACGCTTCTGTCAAACTTTACTTATTTGAAACTGATGTGGGAGAAACAGTAATCTGTTTGATACAAAGCGTCTATCTGGTCTCGCCCCATCAAGGATTGAGCCATCCACGTGCGTTTTTTTCATTTTCGGACTTGTAGGAATGTTTCACACCATTTTGCATAATCACAATGTTCACATTTAAAATTATAGTTTGACGTTTTGCTGCTTGCAGACCTTTTTGAAGTGTAGAACCAAAACATGAGGAAGATGTTATTGCTTACATTATTATACGAAGAATCACCAGCAATAATCAGGTTTCTAATAATTGTACAGCATGTTAACTATAAGGTCTTGGAAGCCACAGTTACGAAGGACCTATTGCATTTGACATTATTAAAATCTTGTGCAGCGGAGGAAGTTAGCGATTGTACTTTTACTCTCAAACGCCTGCTCTTATATCATACCTATTACTTAGGGTCGCAACGCTTGCAGCTTCCAAAATTTCATTTTGGGTATCTGAACTGTCGCTATCACCCATTTTGATACGCACAACACACGCAAAGATGCTAATTATAATTTATTACATATGACAGGAAATGCTTGGTTTTAATTGTCTAAGATAGCTATGATTTTCAGAAAAAATATGTTTTTCTCCAACCACCTGAATAAGACGCTATTTTGTGACAGTGTTCGGTACCTAAAATTGACGTTTTGCGGATTAATCGCTTTCACCATGGCAACTGTACAAAAAGTGGATACTTTTGGTCCTAGTACCAAAAAGAAATTGACCTTGAAAGTTGGCCAATTAAAAAATTACAATCACGGAGATATGTCACATTGACATCGTTTTACATTGCAGGTTGTAAGATATTTCTATACATACAAATCAAATATTTTTGCAGATTCAATGCAAATAATGATGTTACCTATACGAATGTACATGTATTGAAAATTATTCCGTGAACGTAATTTTAATACGTAGACAACCCGCCGTCGCGCGTAACGCCATCTACTTCAGACCAATTGCACTATTAACTGTCATTTTGAATTCAAAATTTGAAAAAGTTAATTGCAATTAATTTTAATTAAAAAACTGTATGGTAAGTTTTTTATTTCAATACAAAATATAACAATATTAATTGTGTATACAATAAAATGACTGAAACTGATAGCGACATGGATTGCACTCCGCCAGAGATTATAGAAACGGCAGAACATGCTACCTCAAGATTTGCTCCCTACAAAGTCGCGAGAGGTGAGAAGTAAGAGGTAAAAACGAATAGGTTATAAGTTAACCTAAAAACTAGAGTGGCATGACACGTGAGGACAAGAAAGCAGAAGTTCTTATACTATAGTAGTGAAACGGTAACTGAATCTAAATTCGAATATAATTTGAAGTAAAGGGCGTTGGAGAAAAAATTTTATGTTTTATTCGTACAAAAAATGCGTTTTCGGGACTCGGAACTCTCTTCCTCGTCCCGAAAACTGACATTTTTTGTACTAATGAAACAAATAACTATTATGAGCAAATTTTTGAATTCTTTTTTGATGATTGCCTAAAAAATGTTGTGTGCGCCTTGGCCAAAAGTGATTTGTTAGGCCTCATCTGAATTGCGGCCTCGGCTACCGCCTCGGCCACAAACAGCAGCTTCGGCCAAAAAAGATCACTTTTACGGCCTTGGTACACAAATAACTATTATATTATATTTTATTCACTACTAGCATTCCAATGTATAATTAGTAGGCTAGTATTCGATGCTAGATTTTATTTTTCTCTACCTATACTGTATCATAGAGTAAAATTTACTCTATGGTTGAGGTGAATTTTTCATCTGTTCAGAGATGTGAATTACCTTAGACCAGTTTCGAGCATTCTGCCGGCTACTCCGAATTAGGTTTTCCTAATTTGTAAGGTAAATACCGGAGTAGTAAGGACAACTTAAGACCTTCTGCAGAGGCACCTCTAAAAAGCATTATGCGGGTCACTCTGTAATTGGCCTGTTGAGGGCCCGGAACAAGAGATGGATAATAAATAAATAAAAAAATAAGTAAATAAATTATCATGCGGTTTTTTATACGTGAGCTCTTGGTCTATAACCTACGTTGTTCGTAATCCAAGGTACGTACCAACAGCCCCAAATACCTCGGATTATAGAGACATGAAACCTTGCTTAATGTCAGATATTACATTAGAAATATTTTATCTATCTAGCAAGGTAAATAAATTGTTAGTAGGCATTAGGCTCTTGGGATTTAGAGACCGGGACATTTCGCCGAATGCCCACAACGCCAACACGATTTTTTGAAGGTCCATATCGCCGACTAGGGACACTACGCCGACCGTGCCCACATCGTCGACAAGTGTGCAAGGGACACAACGCCGACCATGCCCACTTCGCCGACCGTGCCCACATCGCCGACAAGTGAACAAGGGACACTACGCCGAACGTGACCATAACGTCGACTCATACAACACTTCTTAATCAAGCTGGACGGTGTGCAACACCAAGTAGCTTTTGACGTTAGGTTATTGTAGGTTCAGAATATTTTTTTAAACTTTTTTCGAACTACAGACTCATACGAAAATTCTTAATCAAACTGGACGGAGTGTGAAGCAAAGCAGCTTTGGATTGTAGGTTTAGGACATGTTTTTTAAACTTTTTAAAATTCATACACTGGACAGAGTATGAGGGGCCTGGATTTTCGAACAGTCGGCCTTGTGGTCACGTTCGGCTTAGTGTCCCTTGCACACGTTTCGGCAATGTGGGCACGATCGGCGTAGTGTCCGTCGGCGAAGTGGGCATGGTCGGCGTTGTGTCCCTTGCATACTTGTCGACGATGTGGGCACGGTCGGCGTAGTGTCCGTCGGCGTAGTGTCCCTAGTCGGCGATATGGACCTTCAAAAAATCGTGTCGGCGTTGTGGGCATTCGGCGAAGTGTCCTAAACCCAGCACCGGCATTGCCAAATGGCAACAAGTTTGAGAAAAGACCTGGAGAATTATTATCTAATTTATGGAACTCTCGTGTGGTATTCGATAGATTATTTTTTGACGTTACAATCAAAATCACTTTTAAGATTTTCTTTATAGTCTTCTCCATTCTGTTTCTTCGCATATTAAACCCATTAGTCCTTCAAAATAATGACTAGTTTTGTTTTTTCTTCCAATTTATAGCCCCTCATTTCGTCGCAAAATAATTGGAATTGTTTCCAAACAGACGCGTTGCTTATTAGGGTAGTGTACATACAGGGTGACAATTTGAAAACTTACCACCCCCCATATCTTAGTAAATAAACGAAATATTTAAAAAAATCAAAATCCGTTTTGGTAATTCGGAGGGGGAATCACAATGACATAGTTGGCGACGCACCCCCTCACACCCCCTGCGCCCCAGCCACCCCAACTTTTAAATCTTAAATAGTGACCCCCCATGTGTGATACGTCGTTGGAAAGCTCTGAAAAAATGCTTTCCAACCATACCAAATAGCATTACATTTAGGTTAGTAATTATCGTGCAAATCAAAAAATAAACTAATATGATACATTTGAAATCTGTCGTATTTAAAACGCAACCGGCGAACATAGACGAACTAAGACAGAATAATTCAAG